TGGAGAAAGTTTGATTAACGCTGATTATTAAAGTCTGATATAAACATGGTGGTAAAATAATGCTTTTATTTATCTCCTTTAGCAGCTTTCAGCAAAGAGCAGAAGGAGAAGAACCTGGAAGAGGAGTGCAGCGCCCCCCAGTCAGCCTTCCTTGGACCGACGCTGTGGGACAAGACGCTGTCCTACGATGGAGACACCTTCCAGCTGGAGTACATGGACCTGGAGGAGTTCCTGTCGGAGAACGGCATCCCGTCCAGCCCGTCTCAGAACCAGCGGGACCGCCACCAAGCACACCACGCCGCGCCGTGCCAGCCGCCCATCCTGACCCCGGCGCCCACCCCCCCAGCACGCTCGGTGATGGACCTCAGCAGCCACGCCTCCACCTCCGTCGTCTCCCCAAACTGCCTGCATGGCAGCCCGCCAGCAGCAGGTAGAGCCCACGCCATCCGTCCATCAGATCAATGCAAACCGATTGGTTTTTGGTGCATAAATAGCAGAGGATCATCAGCAAAGCAGCAATAATTAACCTTTCCCTTTAACATTCAGATGCTTTTATTAAGGAGACGAAAGCTTTAACATGTTTCCTTAAGTTATAAGAAACGCAAAATAAGTTTTAATACGAAAGGCCTGGTTATCCTCCCCCAGCAGCGTATGGCAGTGAGCTTGTCGCAGATATTTTTTATTTCTGCCCAATATTGAAGCGTGGTCTGCGCTATGTTATTCTACGCCACAGCGCCAGAGGGCCAATCAGGAACTAGCTGTGGGTCTAGATACGGCCGAGGCGGGGAGGAAGTTGGGGCAAGTCTGTCCCACAACGGAGAGACATGAGGGCCAAAAAGATAAGATATAAAAATAAGCTTTTAGTGTCTCTGTGTTAAATATCAGAGCTCAGTCTATCTTAGAGCAGAACTTTCCTTCCAGACTTTAATGATTGTTTTCTACTTTCAGCTGCTTTAGATCGTAAAATGTAAAATAATAGTTAATATAGGGAATAATATGTTGAGACTCCAGAAGATTCTTAAGAAACGGGTGCAGTACAGTTTGTCCGAGTTTGGTTGCCATATGATGACGTCATAAGAAGGGGCGGGGCCCCGAGCAGATCTGGTACCTACAGCGGTAAGCTACCAAACAGGAAATACGCAGAGCGGATGTAGATTTGATCAATCAGAGGCCTCCTGTCTGAGGTCACCTACAGTATGGGAGAGGAGCAGCAGAGGGGGGCGGGGCTTATCTGCGTTCACTGCGACACACCCAGACCACCTGGTTTCTGAGTATAAATCAGCCTTAAAAATGCTTTAGTTACATAAAAAAAAGTCTTAATTAAGGTTTAATTCAGTTATTAGTGCAAATATGACCTGAATTAGACGGATTAGAGATCTCATTAAACCAGAAGCAGCTAATCAGAGTTGAGCTTTTGGGAATGATTGACACATTTCAGCCTGATTTATGTCATTAAACGCAGACCTGAACCTGATTTATTCTGCTGAGCTTCTGTTTTACTCATCAGAGCTCTGATAAAAACCCTGACTGTTCTGATCTTCAGCCTGGGAGGGGTCAGAGGACAGCATGGGGGGGGTAAAGGTGACATGAGCGTGGGTGGCTCCCTGAAAGATCAGATCGTACCGATAAGAAGCTGTTCACTCAGCGTCCGTCTCTGTCTTGAAGGGAACATCCTCTTTCTCTGAAAACAGGCCGTCCTCGCAGCGTGAAGAGACATGTGACCTGCTGAGCGGGCGCCTGTGTGTGTGTGTGTGTGACCGCCCTCCCTGCATGAGATCAGTGTTTTAAGAACATAGTGTTCCCTGCAGAAGTAGGCCAGGGGGCGGCAGCTCCCACATCCACACGTTTCCCACTGACTGTTTACATTCGCATCCACTGATACTCACTAATGCACGCTGCAGTGGGGGGGGGATATTTCCTCTGATCCTACAGCTGACTTTTTGGGTTTATCCTGCAGAAATATTATGAAAATCTCCTGTTTTTCCTTTTTTGAAGAAGAAGCTGGAAACTTTTTATCTGTCCAGCAAAAAGTGTCAAACTTGAATGAATTGATTTCAGCTTTAATCCATGAAGGAGCAGGAGGGGCAAACTTCAGCTGGCTTCATTTTCAGGACTTCGACTTCAATTTAAATTCAGATTCAATCCAAATTCTGAGCTTCAAAATCTTCTTCATCTGTCAGTCTGCTTTATCCAGAACTCCTGAAGTGGAAAAGTTTTTGTTTTGCAAACAATCTTCTTTTGCTATCTGGTTATTAATCAAAAAAATAGCTGACAGATTATCTGATTTGCAATCGAATAATCTAACGATTTGAACCTTTAGATGCAGGGTTTTTATGAAGGCCCGATCCTGCAGCTGCTGTTGGGTTTTTCCAGCAACGGGCTGAGAACTGCAGCAAAGGCCACAGATAATCTTCTGCTCCCATGGCCAAATATAGCAGCGTAATCTACTGCATTATCTGGCATATTTGTATTCTCACACGCTCCGCGGCAGCGCGGCCGATGCAGTAGCAGGTTAGTCCGAGTTCAGCAGATCTGACCTGCTGGAGCTGCAAAGGTTATTTCCAGTCACACCTGCGGTCACATGTTTTTTTGTTTCTTCCTGGTTCGCAGCTTTTGGGCTTCAGGTTTCAGATTAAATCCCTAAAAGAACAGCAGAGAGGCAGAGGGGGCTCCGACCTGACAGCAGGGGGGTCATACGGTCATGGATGGATGGTTTTCACTTCATCTTCAGATGAAGCTGAAGGTCTCCATCCATCTCCAGGAGTTCCAGCTCTGTTGCTTCAAAATCTCTCAGTGTTTCTGCTGAGACTAAATCTTAATCTGGTCTAATTCCCTATGAGATACATTCACAATGAAACCTTCAGTTGAGCTCCTCTGGCAGGAGGACATTCCCATCGTTTGTCTGCTGCTCTGTGTTGTTTTCCCTCTACATAAAATCTGGCTGCAGGTTTTCCATCAATCCTCCTCCTTCCAGCTCAGCTCTGAGAAATTCTCTCAGCTGAGCGTCTCACGTTCTGCTCCGACGCGCACGTGTGGCGGCGTCCGTCAGCATCACGTTTTACCAGCTGTGCCTGCCTAACAGCCACCTGCTCCTCCGCATGTAACCTGCAGCTCCGCCGCTCTCAGTCACACCTGCTGCCCCCAGCAGAGCCTCTCGCTGCCTCACCACGGTCTGATGAGGCTGGACACAGCAGGGCGCATCCTGCACAACCCAAGGAAACAGACACTCAGAGAGAGCTTCACCTTCAACTAGCAGACCTTCACTGATCGGCCAGAGAGGAAAACCAGGAGCTGCTCCTCTTAATGTTGCAGCTTTAGAGCAGAAAATGAATTTATTTCATGTTCATATCCAAATCTTTCCTATAAAACTGAAGGTTATGCTTCTGCAGAAATGTTTGCTTTTTCCTTCAGATCTTCAAATGAACAAAACCCAAATTTACTGAAAGGGTTTTTTATTTTTTACACAGACAGAAAAACATGCAAACTGTTTTTTAGCATAAATAGATTAAGAATAGCTTCATGCATTCAAATTAAGAGATCAACACATTTGGCAGCTTTAAAGTGCCTCTTTAAAGGTAATCTGGGAGTTTATCTGTTTCCTGTGTAGGAGAAGCAAAGTAAACTTCAGAAAAACACACCTGTATATGTTTAAAGTCTTTTGGCCCAAAATCAGAGAAAGAAAATCTTAAACTCATAAAGAAAAACCTGCTGGTGTCATTCAAGAAAACATTTCCGGAAATAATTCATGTTTTTCTTAAACCTGCTGGAAACGGAAAGCATTTTGGCACCACCTGCTGGTGGAAACCAACATTGCAGCTCAGACAGGGAGAGATTTAAACGTTGATCCCTCAGAATCTGGAGGAGAAAGTGAAGAAGAAAAGCTTTAAAGGCTGAACTTTAGAAAGAAAAACACAAATACACAGAAAATTGTAAAAATTAGAATCTAAGTTAGACTCAGGAGAGAGAGGAAACAGAAAGGAAAAGAACAAATCAATAAATGAAGAAAACTAAATGTTATCTGAACATGTTGAATGAAGAAAGTATTCAACCCTGCAGTCCAGTTAATAAAGGAGGTCAAAGATTCGCTAAGTCGCTACTTTAATTTATCTTTGCAGAGACGAGAACAAGCAACACATGAGCGAATATTTTCAAATTAAAGAAAATAAGAAATAAAAGATAAGAAGGAGAATAAAGGGATGAAATTTAGATGATTTAATTCCTCCTCTCTCTTTCCTCAGGCCTCCCAGGCTCCAGGAACACTCCTAGCCCCATTGATCCAGAGTCCATCCAGGTTCCAGTCAGCTACGAACCGGACCCGGCCGACCTGGCCCTGTCCAGCGTTCCGGGTCAGGACATCTTCGATCCACGCAAACGCAAATTCTCTGCAGAGGAGCTGAAGCCTCAGCCAATGATCAAGAAGGCCAGAAAGGTTTTCATCCCCGATGACCTGAAGGTAATTTGGAGCCGGTACCGACTGGGCCCAGTTTGCTCTCCACTGGTTCCTCCTCATGGAGGATCAAACTGGCAGAACTTAGGAGGGATTGATGTTGCTGTTCCTGCAGGCCGCGCTGCTGTTCAGGGCTTTTCATCCAGATGTTTATCTCAGCACGTGACCTGAGCAGATCTCAGACATCATCAGAGCTGATTACAGCCTGTCAGCAGCAAGGCATGCTGGGAAACATCCAGTCCCTGCTCTGTGCTCCCATTGGCCTGCAAGGATAAGCGGCTTAAATAAGAGGGAGGGAGGCAGCGGTGATGTGATGATCCGTCCGTCTCCCTCAGCTCAGCTTTTAAATGTTCAGGGAAACGGAGCTGCAGCTGTGAGCAGATGGAGGACAGAGAAGCAAAACGCAAATTCAGACGTTCCAACTGAAGAAGGGATGCAGGCCAAGTAAAGACGTTATCAATCCGAGCACGCAAACATGTAATGACTCCATAGAAAAGGACGTGAGAGAAACTAGAGGCTGTGTTTGGAGCAGATCTGTGTTTTAGTTCCTGATGAAGCTCTCTGCCTCCAGATGTGTCCAGATGTAACCTTTCATCTTTTAAATGAATGAATCCGTCCTAAAGAAATGAATAATTATATCAGATTATATTTCAATCATTAGTAATTACATTTTTTTACTCCATGGCCGCCTGCTGGAGACCTTAGCAAAGTCAGCCGCATTGATTCAGGTTTCTATGGCGATCTATGGCGGAAGCAAAAAGCTTATTTACTAATGAGCCTTTTAAGGCACTTTGAAAAAGAGAAGAAGAGACTTTAGAAATGAGTCACATTCATCTCTGGATCTTTGAGGAGCTGGTCATAGTCTGGACTCACACCTCCCATTTTAAAGCACGGTAGTGGTGGCAGCAGCATCATGCTATGAAGATTTTTTCCATCAACAGGAAAGGGGTTAATTCAGTTCTATTCAGTGTATTTCTATAGCTCCAATTCCCATCATGTCATCTCAGGTCACTTTATAGATCCAGATCATCCAGTCAGATTGATTCAAAGTTTTCTATCCAAGGAAAACCAGCTGATTGCATCGACTCATTGACTCTTCAGCAATCCCTCACACTAAGCATGCTTGTAGCGACAGTGGAGAGGAAAAACTCCCTTTGCACAGGAAGAAACCTCCAGCAGAACCAGGCTCAGTGTGAGCGGCCATCTGCTGAGGCCCACTGGGGTTCAAGGAGACAGAAGCAGACATAGAAAAAGAAGCATAGATACAAAAGGCAACTGTCAACAGCTCCACAGGCGGCCCCGTCCAGGAAACACACAGCCAGGCAGACGAGCTCCGAGCCAGCTCCCATGTCAGAGGATGAAGAGAGCACATCCAGTTAGTCACAGTCAGAGAAACAGGACTACACTGGAAAACAGGCCAAGCTCCAACATCTATAAACAAAGGTGTTGATGGCAGCAGCACAGCTGATATTTCTCTCCAGGATGGAGTCACAGCCAAACAGGAACAGACCAGATGAAGCTACTATGAGAAAAAGCAGAGAGAGCAGAACGTTAGAGATTGAACTACCAGATTCTGCAGAGTGGGAGAACAGAGATAGAATGAAGCAGAATGATGAAAAAGGGGTCCCTATGTCCTCCAGCAGTCTAAGCCTATAGCAGCAGAACTATAGAGATAGCTCAGGATAACCTGAGCCACTCTAACTAGAAGCTTTATCAAAAAGGAAATAAACCTCCTGTGGTTGGAAGATGGATCCGTTAGAGAGGAAGGATCCCCTCATGGGAAGTTTTTCCTGCTTTATCGACGGCTGAATGAGTCCAGCTCCGTTTTCCCAGGAGAACCAGCTGATTTCTAAATGCTGCAAATATGAAGCTTAACGAAGGAATCCTAGAAATGAAGATATTTAGCAGGAGCAGAGCAGAGTTTGATTGATTGATTGATTTACTCTATTGATCTCACAGTGGAGAAATTTACTCTATACATTAGCTCAAAAAGAAGGTACCAAAGGAAGAAAAAGTGCTTGGATATATATCGTATATACACTGTGTCCACATTCACAGTTTATTTTTTTTTTGTAGCACATTATTATTCAGGGTTATTGCACAGGGTCTTTACATTTATAAAGATGAATATTTATATATAGTTATTGCAGAGGGTGTTAAATAGTAATTGCAGTTTATACATTGTAGAAGTTATTGCTGTTGTGTCGTTTGGTTCCTATTTGAGCTTCTGTTTAACATAATAAACCTTTAGATTCCCATTTTGAACTCTTTGCTTTGTTTCCCTTTGAGCAGGATGACAAATACTGGGCTCGGCGCAGGAAGAACAACATGGCTGCCAAGCGTTCCCGTGACGCCCGGCGGCTGAAGGAGAACCAGATCGCCATCAGGGCCGCCTTCCTGGAGAAGGAGAACTCTGCTCTGAGGCAGGAGGTGGCCGACCTGAGGAAGGAGCTGGGCCGAGCCAAGAACATCGTGGCCAAGTATGAGGCCCGGCACGGGCCGCTGTGAGGGACGCCAGCGGCGCCCCCCTCTGCATGCAGCCCCCCATCCAGCGGCTCCTCTCTGTGTCTTTATGAACCTCCAGGCAGCGGCTGATCCTGACCAGGTTGTTTGTTCCAACCAAACAGCCGATCCTTGATTTTCTTTAAGCGTCAGACTTTGATGAACTGAGACTTTTCCTGCTGAGTGGAGCCTGAAGCTCCTCACACATCTGTAAACATCTGGACGCCCAGAAAGACATTAAGCTCCAGATCAGATGCTCCACCTCCCTCCATTCACTCCTCTTCATCCTCATCATCCTCCGGCCAGCACTTTAAAGCATTGGATCTCTGTTACAGACGCTGCCCCCTGCAGGTGTGCTCCAGCAGCACACCTGTTTCCATGGATATTTGTACCAAATGAGCTCTGCCGCCTGCAGGTCCAACTTTCTCCTCTTTATACCTGAAGTCCTCGACCAGAATCAACCTGTTCGAAGTTCAGGAAACAGAAAAACTATTTATTTCCTGCTAGAGATCTATTTTTTATCAATTACACCCCAAAATAAATAGGAGCTTAGAGATTAGCTTGATGGTGGAGTTTGACTTTACCCACTTTAAAATGGGAAACATGGAACCCAGAGAAGTTCAGCACTTTCTGTCAGCCTGTGAGGGAGCCCCCTGGTGGCGAGGGACGTCAGATCGCTCACCAACAAAGAGGCTGTGGGAGGGGCTCGAGGTTCTGCAGGGTCTCTCAGGTTCGTCTGCAGCACCGGTCAGGCTGTGATCCTTCAAATATCACACTTTTCATTCGCTATTTATGTCATTTAGAAACTGTCACAGTGAACATCAGCAATGTCCCTTCGATCTAGAAAACTTGCAGATTTTTATGAGGAACCTGAAGTTGCAGCAGGATAGTTTAGGAACAGGAAACTGCTGAAATAATCCTCCACAGGTTTTGCTCCCATTTTCAGAACAGGAAACAAAAAGAGTTTTTATCATCACTGATTTTCAACCAGAATATTTACAGCTCCTTATTTATCTTTATGCTACGTTCAGACCGAAGCAGCAGGAGCAGCAGAAACCCGCGTGCTGCTTCATTTCTGATGCTGTCCAAGTTTAGCTTTCTGACGCGCGGCTGAAGCATCTTTGCTGCTCTAGCTGCGCGGTGGTAAAGTGGGTCTGATGCGCGGTGGGCGGAGCTACTCTATCCTTTCTCTGCCTGGAACAATGGCAGCTATATTAGCTGTGATCAGCGGGTAGAAAGTAGTTAGAATCTATGTTGAAGTGAGAAAGTCCTCCTGAAAACATGGTCTGTGCAGTCAGTTCATCCAGATTACCGTCCTGCCTTCAAAGATTATTTCTCTGTGGGAGCCGCTCAGACCCCCACATACCGGCGCTGCGCTGTCACTGGGAATCCCCAGCAGCAGCTGCCTCAGGCCCGCTCGCCTCTCCAGGGTTTTCCCCTCCTGTTGGTGGCGGCTGGAAGTAGATGTTAGCGTTTTTCAGGTCTGTGCTACAAACTGCAGGCAGCAGGATAATAAAAGCCAACATATTCTGCCGGCAGGTTTCTACATTTGAAGTTAATTTAGGCGTTAATAAACTGTTTCAGAGGAGTGATCATAGCGCTCTGCATCAGCAGTGCTGCGTCTGACTCCCTGCCAGCTCCCAGATCAGCTTCTCTCATTGGTTGATGCAGATGCTCGTGAGGCGCTGCTCCTGCTGCTCTAGACGCTGCAGGACCTTCTGCTGCGCCTGGATTCGCATCAACCATTGACTTTGCAGTTAAACCAGCTGCCTCTGCTGCTATCCGTCTGAACATAGCATTACAGAAACACTATAGGCATACAGGTCTCCTAACTGTTCATCTGGATTTCAAATTAATCCTGTAATGCCACTGAAAGGCAGCAGGGGGTGTATTCTTCCAGTTTTCGTGACTTTAACCTAGAAAAATCATCAATCAACAGATCAGCGTCCAGCATGAGCAGTTAGGCTTAGACTAAAGGCAGGATGATACGATCATATGAAGCGCAGGCCTGATGGGAGGATGAACGTGGCTACTGTCAACCTTTAAACATGAAATCCTTTCATCATCGGTCGACCTGTAAACCTTCACCTGGTGTGAGGTCAGCTCTGTGGACATCAGATCATGAAGGCTCAGTCATTGCAGATGGAGATCTAATCATTCAGGGTTACAGCTGAGAGCTGGTTTCTCAGCCAGAAACAATCTGCAGAACCTGCTGAGGTTCAGGTGGTTCCGTTTATCCTGTTAATCTGCAGTTTAATGAGCAGCGATTTGTCCTACATTGGTGCCGTTCTCACTGATCTAAAGCTAAACATTCAATTCTATTCAGTTTATTTCTATAGCTCCAATTCACATCATGTCATCTCAGGTCACTTTCCAGTTCACCAGATCATCCAGTCAGATTGATTCAACGTTTTCTATCTAAGGAAAACCAGCTGATTGCATCGACTCATTGACTCTTCAGCAATCCCTCACACTAAGCATGCTTGTAGCGACAGTGGAGAGGAAAAACTCCCTTTGAACAGGAAGAAACCTCCAGCAGAACCAGGCTCAGTGTGAGCGGCCATCTGCTGAGGCCCACTGGGGTTCAAGGAGACAGAAGCAGACATAGAAAAAGAAGCATAGATACAAAAGGCAACTGTCAACCAGCTCCACAGGCGGCCCCGTCCAGGAAACACAGGCTAAAATGTTTGGTTCGAGCAGAAAAGGGATTTATACTTTTGTCTTTACATGGCTAATAAACTTTACTCAGAATCTTGGATTGTTGTGGAAGAACCAGATCAGTTCACTGATCATGATGTTTGATCCACTTTGTCGTCAGCAGGTCGTGTTTTATGTTGTTGCTCTTTATCTTATTCTCTCCTATAGGAGCCTAAAATATCAGTTGAAATATGGTGAACAATCAGTTTTAAACATGATAAAGTGTTAAAAGTTTAGCTTAGCAGAGGTCTGAAGCTCATTGGGTGCCCCTGATGATGGGAATAAGTTCACTGACGTCTGAATTATCCTGGGTTTGCTAGCCTGGGGTTATAATGTCAGAGCTAACTAAGCTAACAGCCATTAGCGCTGAGCCTCAGCTGATGTTTCTGTTCCTCTGATTTATTAAGAGGGGGAACGTTTCCTCGTCTTTACCAGGAACTCCAGGACTTCTAGACCTGCTGGTCTAACTGGTCTGATACCAGAACACAGACTGGTTTATTTAGAGACACAGCAGGGCTGCTAGTTTTAGCTAAGTCAAAGGTTTAGCGCCCCTGGTTGCTAAAAGTTGCTTTACATGCTAACAGTGAAATAAAAGGATTTATTTTACAAAAGAAGCAGAAAATGGTTGTTTATAACTGGAGTTTTTGTAGTTGTATTAGAATATTTAGCCGCTAGTTCAACCAAACCGCCTGAGCTGCTGGATTTAAGCCTTAAAATGACGCGTTATCTGCTGAAGTCTGACCTCACATTGTAGCACCAACCTTTGTCTGATGTTTATATCACCAGAAAATGTAAATACTGCAAATCTGCTATTATTTCTAAATTAAGCAGTTTTTATGACAATTAGAAACGACAACAAAAGAAAAACCTAGTATCTTCATAAAATCTTACTCTCTAAAGGTTGAGTTAAAAAGATGTATTTTCTTCGTGTCAAATCGTTTTAAGCTCATCAGAAAATGATAGAGCTGCTCGTCTTCATTCCCCTCTTTAAAAAGCTCTGCTGCTGAATGGAGCAGAATGAAAGACAATCAGCCGCTCATTTATTTCTGCATCTCTGTTTAAAAATATTCAAATATTTCCTCCTGGTGAGACATAAAACTATTAGAAGATCAACTCTTGGAGGTTTTTTCTTAATTTTCTTTCATATAGAACAAACTGACATCCGATAAATTTGTCGTTAGGCTTTAGCGCCACTGACGCTGCTGGTCACGCCACCTGGTTATCTGAGCAGGTCGCAGCAATCGGCCCGGCAGCGGGAGATTCCTTTATCTGTCTCTGGAGTCACTGTTCAGCTGAAAAACTCTCCTAAACGTAATTATTCCACAAATATTCAGGTTTCTTAATCTGTGAGTCAAAGATCTGATATAAAAGGCACCTTAAAAAAAACTTTATATGAGGATTACTTTCTTTTTCTACTTCTTAAAAAAACTTTTAATATAGAAAACTTTCTACGCCTGCAGGTAGGATGCTGACTGCTGATTAGGGAGCAACCTAACGAGGGATTAGCCAGGATTTACCTGTAACGCTGCCCCCCCCCCCCCCCCCCCCCCCCCCAAAGACAGGCTAAACCATGAATGTACATTTTTTATGACTTTGAACAGGTGATGCTGTCTAACAATGGAAAACCTTCACATTCTTTTACTGAAGACCAAACAGAAACAGATTAAAAGATGATTCTAAAAGCTTTTAATGTTTATACAGATTTATTCTTGTCTCTTTTGTACATTCTGTTTTCCTACGTAGATATTTCCTGTGTATTTTGGAACTACTTTGTATATTTCACATATTCAGTAATTTATAAATGATGAGGAAGACAATGCGACTCGGTCTGGGTATTTTAAAACCTTTCCTTTCCTCCCAGTCTGGTTGAATTACCTCCCATCCAGTTGCCACATCTGCTGGTTGCTATGACAACACGTCCCCGTCCTTATTGGTGTTCAGGGGCCTGGGGGCCTCTGAGTAGAGCGATGTACAGTTTCGGCACAGAAGAATGTATTTTTCCCCAACATAAAGCACTTTGTTTAGTTTTTCCTCTGTCTTTAGTTTGTTTCTGTGATTCTTTTTATTTTTGATCTCCTGTATCTTCTGCTAGTTATTAACACCTTTTCCTCTAATTGTATTATGTTTTCACGATTATCATGAATAAAATTCTTAATCCATGTTTTGCTCCAAATTGTTTTGTTGAAATACTTTTATATCGTTTTAAGTCGTTTACATCCGAACGTCACCGGGTGACTGAAGCCATCAGAGCGTTAGATGCTTAGAACAGATGAAAATGTTGATGCACCAGGATTTAGCTGACAGCTTCAGCTGCTGAGTGGAGCTCATGATTTTCTATCACATCTTCATCCCATTTGATTAATAGAATATTACAGAGATGGTCCTCTAGGATGAGGCCCTTCATGCCTAATAGCTACTAGCTCAGGCAAACAAGGTTAAGAATCAATTAACTGAAGGTTATCGGTTTCTAATTAAACAAAACTTTTGATGAAAAATTAGTTAAAAGCTAATTTAATCACGTTCTACATTCTTTTCAACCATGTCTTTTTCGTTCTTATGTCACAGTTTTTGATTATTCAGTTTTACTTTGATTCATTTTTTCTAGTTTTATTGGTTTAATTCCTATTTTGTGGTGTTTCCTGGATCTATTTGAGTTCTCAGGTTTTTGTTGGTTGCCCTCTGCTGCCCTCTTGTGTTGGTCTCCTTTCCTCCTAGCTCCTTCTAGCCTCCTCTGTTCACACCTGCTCCCAATCAGCTCATTAGTCCAGTCTTTGTTCAGTCTCCCATATAAACTCTCGCTGTCCAGTTCCTCAGTGCTGGTTCCTCATCTTTCCCTGGTTTTCCCAGATGTCTCCAAGGTTCTGCTTTTTCTCTACTTTTTATATTGAATATTTTGGTTTCCTGTCTCGGTTGCCTGTGAGTACCTTCATTAAATCTTCAAGAACTCACCTGTCCCTCCTCACCTCGTCATTTGGGTCCTCAAAACCTCAACCAAACCCCAACATCTTATTTTAGTTCATAGTAGTTTAGCTGAACTTTACTGTTTTAATTAAGAATTTTTAACGGAAAAGTCGCTCATATTCAGAATTCAAAACTTCTGAAAACATTTTAAATATGAAATTTGAAACCATACTGTTCAATAAATGATCCCCATCCATGTTTGTCAAAGAACACTACTGCCACCTACTGGTTAGTGACGTCACGTTGCGGTATCGGCTGTTGATCAAGTCCCAGTGCTGTATCTGGTGTTAAAATACTTATAATTTATCAAGCAGTAACTTCTTATTTAAAGTACCGATACTTTCAAAAGTTTGGATTCTAAATATGATCCAACTTTTTCTTTAAAATGTTACCCTGGTTTGGCGTTTCTCCTGTCTGAATGTTTCTGTCACAG